CCCCAAAACCCCAAAACCCCAAAACCCCAAAACCCCCCTTGGGTTAGCATTTATTTTATATTAAGAATTAAGAATATATAATTAAAAAAGTTAGATATTTCTAAGACAGAAATTAATCATGAATAAAAGTCCCTTCCTTTAAGACGAAACATTTAACTACAGTTTTAATAATGAGAGATTAAGCAGCAATAGGCAGAGTAATGAGTTTTAATAGAAAGCAAGGATTGAAGCATTTTAAAGATCTACCTCATAATAGTCGCTTAATAGATAACAGTAAGACAGCTAGATTTATTAAAAAAATGAACAAAAATCTCAGACACAGCCATTAGTATAGCCTTAATAATAGTAATAGAAATAGCTTCCATAATATCTCAATAACTAATTATAACAAACCCAAATATAAAAGCAGATATCACAGTAGCAGTTATAATAGCAATAGGATCTTGCATTGAGATAGCAGGAACTACTGTAGAAACAAAATCAGGATCAGATACTCCATAAGGTACTTAATCTTAAATAGGAACTTACTGATGCGTATAAGATATTTATAAGAACTACTTCTAATTTACAAGTTGATTTAACTTAGATTCTAGAATCAAAGTATGATATTTAATTATTTCCATTATTTTTAACTACAAATTATTTAGATAAAATATAGCTGAACTTCAAGGAAAATAAAAATATTTCCAGGACTAGTTAGAAATTCAATAAAACTAATTCGAATGGCTATAATATATTTATCTATAGATACTTATAGCCAATGGAGGAAAGAAAAATGAATTGATCTAATAATACGAATATAACTAATACATATCCTAAGATATTGAAAATGAAAAGAAATTAATCTAGGTATCAAAAGAAAACAAAGATAAGCCAATAAAAATTGGTTTTGCAGGAGCATCTTTCTTTGTATTGCTTGGTTTCTACTTATTTTTCTACAAGTATTTCGACTGTTCTTCGGAGTTCAAAGGTGGACCGGAAGTCTATATCAAGGATTAATGTTTCAAGTCTAAATATGCTTTTTACGAAAATAAAGTGATGGAGAATGATGATATTAGTTCAATCTGCTAAAAAATATTTTCAGATGTTTACAATAGTTTTGACAATATCTGTGAGTCAAAACTGATGAGACTTATGCGACTGGCTTTATATTCTAAACTTATTGCCTTAACTTTTTCTGAGACTGACTTATACATTGGCTATCGAACCTTTTACAAAAAGTATGTGATCTTTATTAGTGAAGCTTTGGAATATACAATTTATGATTTAATCACTTTTGCTATATACTTATTGATATTTTTTTGATTTTAAAAAATGGCCAACAATATTTAATGAAGGGGTTTTGGGGTTTTGGGG